AATATTTAGTAGTGGGAGGAAACCCCGGAGGACCTGGAGAAGACCAGGCGATCCTACTCATTGTCGCGTACAGCCAGGGAATCGAAACCACGCTAGCTGACTCAATGACAGATCCCCCCCCCCCCCGGGAGCCAGACACCTGCAACGCTTAATTCAATTAGCCTCCACGGCTCCATAATGTGTAAGCAATACAAATATTCACCAGTCAATTAAATTCACAACAAAATACAACGCAGGGTATATAACGACATTTCGTAACATATACATATATTCAGAGTTATTACACACAACTATCTGTGTGGCTGTTTTCATATTAGTTGTATTTAAGTGTTGACCTCAGACTCGACTTTTACCCTCGCGGATGAAACATATCACACCCACCACCATTCAGTTGGAATCTTTCAGATCCCCACTTTGACAGACAACTCAATTGTATTGTATCATATAGGTTTTTCATTTTCGCAGATCCTATTTTTTCATTATATCATTTACTAGTATATAGTTATTCATACTATGTCAGCGGTGTATTATTTATGACTGCTTTTTATTTCATGTTCTATATTTATTGCATGTTATCAGTGACGGACTGGCCAGGTTGTCATCTTGCCCAATGGCAAGTGGGCTCCTAGAAAGTCCCCCCCCCTCCTTAGACATTAGACAACACATTTAAAATATAAATTATCAAAAAATATATAAATATTAAAAAATAATTATTAGCATGAAAATATTATAAAAGTTATATTATATCTTCAATTCTTTTACGGGGTTATTACAAATTATATACGATAGAATTGTATTGGTGGGTGGGCCCCTTTGTCTCCTGGCATATAATATTTTCCGACCCAGTCAGCCACTGCATGTTATACCTTTGGTTGTCTTTGCAATTCTGCGTTTGTTTTTATATGGAAATATAGCATAATACCTTGTGTTGTGTTTTTGTTGTGAATAGTTAACCGCAATTCTAGATGTCATTTAAAGAATTGGTCCATTAAATGCAAAATAACTAAGACAATTGTGCACTATGTGAACTCCCCAAACGAGGTGTGGTACAACGTTTTCTGGACATCTCCGGAAATTAATCACGTTGATTGTATTCGGATTGCAGGCCTACAAAGATCAGGGATTACAGTTTAAAGCTGATGGCGTTCCGGTGGCTGGTATGGGAATTCAAAGTCATCTTGGTCCAAACTTCGACCTGTCAGTGATGAAGGTAAATAAAGCTGCTACTTATTTCTGCGTAGACTACCTTGCCCTCTTACTAATTCTGAACCTTCCGTGGGAATCGGATTTACTACGTGAGTAAAACGTTGAACATGTTACAGTTACCTGATCCAGTTCTTCACCCACTTTATTTATTTGATGGGTTTCTAAAATTATATCCGGAGTATCTCCCTTACTAGTTGTTGTTCCAATGGAAGACTACCACCAAAAGAAACGCAATTCAAAAGACGACGTACCATCTATAAACCGGACGCATTATTGCGTCTTTTTTGTAAATCTTTATTTTTTTTTCTCATTATGAGTAAGTGAAGCCCGTATGATTACAGGTCGGGACTGAACAATGCAGCTGACGTTCATTTGATTTGAATTTATTTTTTTTTTGGTTCTTGTACGCAGTTTTATCTTATCGGTTTCGTTTCTTGTCTAATGTGGTCTTCCTGCTTGTGTCATTACAGGGGTAGTGACCGGCTCGAGTATGTATTATTATGAGTACATAACGGAAATAATTTATCACGTCACTCTTCAGCCTGAATATCATTAAAGTTCACTGTAGTACTATGCCTAGTGTATGCGTCGCTGGTTAGATGTGGAAAGTACAGTCGCCAAAACACATCATACGTGTGACGCATACTCTATCCTCTACTACATATTTTATTAGTCTTGTGGTCGTTTAGTATTGTCTCTGGTGGTATTTGTAATTCTCTACTGGTTTGGAGTTGGACGTTTCTTTAAATGTCACTCTGACATCACACGTTGTGAATTTTCAGCTTACTCCAATTATGGTTACAGGAAAAGCAATACCACATTTCGTGTCTACATTTTTATGCCAAGCACTGGGTACATAGGTTACAAACAACATAAATTAAACTAAAGTCATTCTCTTAATTCCACTCCCGTTCAAACTCGCCGGTGCGAGTCTGCTGACAGAACTTGCTACATCTTCCCCTTTAAGAATCTACATATTGTCTGGAATGACGCCACACAGATCTAGGGTTTAATATGCCCGGAATTCTGCTGTCTAGTATTTAATTGGCCAAATATTAAGTAATTAATTATGATGATTGGTTATTAGCCAAATATGGAATGAACATGCCTCATACCTTGCACTCTGGCAGGGACTTAATACTTAATTTGGTCAACAGATACATTCCATTCCTGGCCATGAAGATGGCCTAAAACAAATGCTTTTATTAACCTTTAGTTCAATTTATGTATCATTATATCACCGATTTCCAATTTGTTCACATGTTGTTTTGCTTGTCTATGAATCTGTAACAATAATTAGTCAATGCCATAATATTGTTATACATATGTGTTGTTTTGCACAAATCTCGCCATCAATATTACTACATCACTCAAATCTGACAACATTTTAATAAAACAGAAATAGTTTTCCAAAGAGGATTACGATACCAGATCTTTCAGTTATCCCTTTGAGGCCGTGGGAAAATATGACGGAATGTCTTGTCATCATGGCTTCACTCAAAATGAAAACCAAACTTACAATAAACAGTAAAATTAAACAAACCCAACAACATAAAAAAAACAACAATACTAAGCAATGAATTACAGGAAAGACGCATTAAAAATAATGTTACGGATTTGGTCGGTGGCCAAAGTTGTTAATTTGTATCTGTTGTCTTCAGCATAGATTAGATGAGGTGGCGGAAGTTGGATTACCTATTTGGATTACAGAGCTTGATATAGATGAATATGATGCAAACAAAAAGGCAAAGAAATACGCAGATGTTCTAAAGCTTTACTTTAGTCATCCCGCAGTTCACGGCGTCTTATTCTGGGGATTCTCGGACCAGAATCATTGGAGACCGAATGCTGCAATTGCTAATGGAAAAGATGTAACGGTAGGTTTTTGTTTCCTGGTTCTCTATTATATATTCTCTTGTATTTTGAAATGAAATCATTTAATGAAGGACGGATTTATAGATAATTTACTTGGATGCCCGGATAATATAAATGTCTTTCGATCTAGCCTGATGTACCCCACCAGTCATATAACCTTGATTAAAGCTAATCGGTCTTAAGTCATATAATTAATGGATAGCCTTTGAGGACTTCAGATAGTTATCTTTCACCAAGTCTTAAAAATCACACATTGTTAATTATATGAGTATCTTTTTAGAATAATGATCATAATTGTTAATCATGTGCCTGTATTATTAGCTGGTAGGGGATTTAAAGTCTGTTTGGGTTGCTTTTGTATATTACAGCCGAATGCAGCTGGGAAAAAAGTTCAGGAACTCTTAAAGCATACCTGGAGAACCAACGAAACTCATAATATAAGTCATGGCAAGACAGTTAACATCAGAGCTTTTAAAGGATCTTATAAATTGCTGCTACACCATAATGGTAAAGTTATTCATACTGAGAATTTTACAGTGGGGAATAGTGGTAATAGTTTGAAAATAAACATTAGTGGAACAGGTAAGTTCTTTCTTCCGATTCCTTTCACTCCGATTCATCAATACGAAGTGCATTTTAACGTCCCGGTACCAAATCTGGAATGCCTGAAAGTTATGCCAACTTCTTCTTATTGTGGACTTGTTTCACTACCCATCTATATTTTTAATACCAAGTAGTAGTTTCTACTGTCAGTGTGATCTTTTATTCATCGTTCAGATATAGATGAAGTGAGGCCCCTTCCCACTCCTCCTCACGACTAGGGGAAGATAAAAGGGTAATTAACCATGTTTAAGACGACATACCAATAATATACGCACCTTGGCCAGAGGCCCTCTACCCTAGATCATTCATATACTGTCTTCTATACCTGTGGGGTTAATGTATTCGTTATAAATAGTATTATCACCTATCTAATGACGGCGTCAGTTGCTAGGATACATCTTAACAATTTGAATATCTGGTAGTGTATGAAGTATATAGGCATATAAGCGCACCATTGACATATGGCAGTGCTCTTTTCCAACACAATGCATCTATGTAAATAAGAGTGCTATTGACCTATGACAGGCCTATTGTTTTTGATGTTATCTTTATTATAACATAGCTTAAATCGTCCACCCCATCTGGTAGTATTATGACATCTTTCACCAAACTGTAGGACATTATAATATCAGGGACATATTATGTTTTCGTTAAAACAACTTAAAATAATCCTACTAGATTTTTAAAGTTTAAATGAAACATAATATGATTAAAGATACCTTCTCGTGTACAAACCGTGTGATTTATAATATATTTGGACTAAAATATATTCAAACCAATTTATCTATCAAATGTTTTCTTCAAATTCTTCTCAAAACAAATCAAGGGGAACAAAATGTATTTTCAATCATCACGTGACGTGATTGAGGGAGAATCCATTTATAGCTTGTATTGGTCGTTAGCCGCTTTCCATCTACCTTAAATATTGAAGCTTAAGTAAATTGCTTGATTGTCCTCTGTCAGTTCCGTTTTAATTGAAGAATCTACTGGCCGTTTTAGTCGCTAAATGTCCTCAAAAACGTTAGACATTAGATCAACACATAAGAAACGGTTCTTACGTCACTCGTGTAGACAACTGAACTGGCAGCCTGTCGTTTAGGGATGCCGTGATAATTTGTCTTGTGGGTGTTTTTTTAGGGAATCCATTATTTCTTTCTAGCTACTAACATTGTCGCAACTATAACTACCCGATAATTAATTTCTTGGGATAATATCTTTAAATTGTTATCCTACAGTAAACTGATATAATTATTACTGTTTTATTTCTTTTGCAGGATCCAATCCTCATGTTGACCATGTTATAATCGGTTGAAGAAATAAATAAAATAAACTGGGATACAAACAAACAAACATATTTTATATCCTCTTTACAAAATGAAAAACAGTTAAATATTACCCTGTTGATATATCACAGATATTAATTATTAAAGGCATGGAACGACTAGTCACACTTACCAATTACGGTTGGCTATTACTAAAGACATGGAACACCTGTTGTCACTTCCCAAATAATGGTGGCTACAATACTGTGTTCATATTATGTCAAGATTGGTTATACTTATGGTGTCGCTTAATAAATATATATTGAATGAATGATCGATATGTAGACTCGCTATGCCTTTCATAGTATATTACAAAAGTTTGATTTAGATTTTGGCTTAACCGGAGATGACGTTTGAGGCGATCTTTGATTACCAGTCTCATCGCTATTTGCAGATGTGTTCACTGTAGTCCCTTTGGCTTTAGAAGTTTCGGCAAAGTTTTCGATTTTTGCCTCATTTGATGTAACTCGTTGATCTAAATTCTCTATTTCACCCTCTTGTTGCTTATTTTCATCAGACAGTGTCTTCAAACTGCAAAATGATTGTTTAATGAAAAATGAAATGTAGTTGAAATGCCCCCCCCCCCACACACACACTGAACACTGGAGACGGGCATACTCCATTCAGTGTGCTATGATGAGAATTTTGCGGCCTGCTGTTATTTCAAGTTCTAACTTTCAGGACATATTTAACGTGCCGCCACTGATTCACACGTCTAGATCCTTCTCTTACCCACCCTCCACCACTATCATTGTGAACCGAGGTTGGAAAATCGAAGTGGATCAAAGTTGCATTGCCCATGCGTAACCGGGAGTTTGGTGTTTTATGTGGTTGATTATCCAGTAAATTTCACCAAATGACACCAGCCCAGACCCTCTGTACTTTGAAGACTAGGAGGTTCTGGTTGACCGAGACTACAGGACTCCTGGTTAGTGAGTCAGCGCAATTCTTACCTAGCCGAAGTGTGTCTTCTTCAAAGATTCGTGCTCATATTAAATGTGATATTGTGGGGTCGGTTCATACCAATCGCACACATCGCATAGTGATTTTCAGTTTGTTCTTATAAAACAATCAGTTTGTTCAAATAATTTAATAAGACCCTCATCCCTTTATTCACTAATTGTTCAAGCTAAATAACCTATGTATTAAAGCGCCAGCACTATAAAAACTGTATAACATGGACAAATGGAGTTTAAATGAAACAAACTGTACCCCGTTGTTACTTGGAATGCGTAGGTCGTCCACGGGACGGAATAAAATTCAAAATGTGTAATAAAATAAATTCATAACCAACCTTCTGTTTTCAAGTAAATTCAAAATTGTCTCGACTCGCTCTATGATATTATGATCTGTGGTTTGTTGACGATATTGTTGAAAGTACTGTTTGTGTTGGTTTATGACTGTATGGTGGGGCACAACCAACCTCTTTAATTCATCTAACAATCTTCCGATTTTTTCTACGTTTTTCTCGTCTTTTAAAACTTTTATAAAGTAATCTACCACCTTTTGAGCTAGCTTCTGAAATTAGAACGACATGTCGTATCGTGTAATTTTAATTCAGTTTTATTTCAATCAATATTCCCTGTTCTTTGTTTCAACTTTCTGATTTGCCTATTATGAATTGGGAGCCACAGTGGTTCAGTGAGTAAGGCACTGGCTCACTAACTAGCAGGTCCCAGGTACGATCCAGGTGCTGGCCTAGAAATACCCTCGGTAATTTTCCGTGCGGTGTCTCCTTGCCAGCGGAACGACTAGACACTTTTCCTTGACCTGCACAAAGAGAAACCAGCTTAGAAAATTTCTCGGCATACACTAGGATCGCAGATATTAATAAAACCAAATTTGTTGAGGTGTTCCATAATTTGTCAGCTGCATGACCTTCTCAAATGAGAAGTGTTACGAGATGTTCTGAAAAGAGTAAGCACTTACTGTTTCACTATTCATCACTATATTAACAAGAAATGTATACAAGTGATAGAAAGTGGTCTCGTTCTCTGGTCCTGCAATAATTCTGTCCAGATGTCTGTGGAATAATCCTGGATTGTGAGTCGCCAGTGGTGCCACTATAGTCAGTAGAAAGTTCATGGTATTCAAGTCATAGTTGTTTATAGCATCAATCAGATCATCCACATTTTCGTTGGTAAATAACTGAAAATATTTTAAACCATCAGGCCAATTCATTTTAATTTTTAGGTCCTAGGGATCCTTATATTTAAAAACAATGAGCCTGACAATGTGGAACAAAATGATTTTGAGGAAATCAACCAAGTATTTTTGGATTTTAAATTTTGATTTTTCCATAAGAAAGCGGTAAGCAAGTTTCTGATTGATGTTCCCGAAGAACAAAAGTTAAAAATTGATGGAAAACTTCAATGGTCGTATGTCGTACATTTACGAAATTGCTATTCCGAAATAATGGTATCAGCTCATTAACATTTGATACATGAGATAGTGTTCATGTGCGGTTGTTTTGATGGGTTGGCAAAATTCGATGAGCAACTGACTTAAAATACTCGTTCCATAATCAGTTTTACTAAATCAATGAATTCAAAATCCTGCTCCTTTTTCGAATATGAGAAGACCATTCATCAACATCCGGCGCCCTTGGATGTGTTTTTGAAGGTAAAGGGACTGACAATCTGTGTTATTGGGAATTGGCAACAAAATACTATAAGTAGTATTTAAATTACAAACCATCTCCACCATGTTTGTTCGAATTACAAGGACGATAAATCTGTATGCTCAGTTTTAGATTTAGGACTGACATTTCATAAAGATAATGGTTCCTGAGATGTACTCTGTGGTGTGCTATAAAAGGTTGGTGCATGTGCATGGACGTAAAACTCTAGGAACGAACGAAGGAAGAAAGTTTCATAATCATTGGATACCACCAAAGGTCAAATTGGTTCCGTTGAAACAAAGTACAGCTACGTTAAAAGGTTGATACATTTAACGGTATTTGAGGTATGCCCCGGATACGACACCGAAACGACATTTAGGGCGGACGAACATATGGATCCAATATGGATCACATTGCAATGCCATCTCCCACTCTATACGCTACGTGTATATACCTCTGGTTCTGTATTGGCTACTATGACAAGAATCTGAATTATAGCTATCCTTATAGTATCATCTGTACCCTTAACGTACTCAAACAATTTCTGAAAATGTTCTTTCATGGGTTCTTTATTGTGCTGATAAGCTGCTTGGATAATACCTGAAATATTTTATTTATACAATATAGTATCATACTGAGATCAAAATAATTCATTGATAGCTATTGTTTATCAGCATTTTGTGCGATCGAACTTTCTAGAATCGTCAATTAGAAGATTTAAAAAGCATGGAAACTCCTAGAAACCATGGAAATTTCACTAAACAGCGTTTCGAAATAATTGGAAGGGTCTAGAGGGTTTTAGGAAAGGTTTGAAAGTTTAGAATTTCCTAACTCTATATAAGCTGGACGAAATCAGTTCGAGAGAGGAAAATTAGTAGAACTATTTTTGCACTTCGTACAGAACTAAACGTTGATCGCATAACTATGAGTTTCTATTTGACCCACGTGGTCGTGTTCTCGCGTTATTGGCATTTCGTACTGTTGCTCTTATTGTGCTGTTTGTTTGTGTGTGAGAGAGAGACGGGGTTTAACGTCCACTCGAGAACAACTCGGTCATTTCGGGACTAACATATGGTTCAATTTTCCTTTCAAAAATTCGCTTGCGGGTAGGGGTCTTTAGCAGTGGGAGGAAACCGGGGGAGCGGAGAAAACCCACTTGGTTAGACACGCGACCCTACTCCTTTTCACGTACCAGCTGGGAATCGAAAGCACGCCACTTGACTCAATGAAAGGCCTTATGATACAACGCGCACGCGTTTTTTTTATCTTGTAAAATGTTTATTCAGGAAATATAATACATTTTAATTATCAACATTTTACAGGCTGTGAATGGTACAATAAATAAGGTACATTAAAAGCATTATTTTTGTTTATGTATATCATTTTTAAATATTTAAAAAATAAAACAAGGAGCTAAAAACAGATGTACCATTTCATTGTAATTCAAATTCAAACTCGAAATAAATTTGTTAAAGTGCGTTAACTCCATAAGGAAAGAAATAAAAAGCTATTAAAATAGAAGTCTAATTGACTATGAGCGTTTGGCGGGAATTTATTATCACTTTTTTAACTGTTATAGTGAGAATTGCCAGGTCTTTATTAACCTCCCATAAAGTATCTTTAATATTATATAGTAGCATATAAAACAGTATAATACAATAATGTTAAAGATACATTATGCAAGAGCTAAATCTGTCTATTGCCGGTCTTTCTTTAGGCCTGCGATCTTTAGTGGATTATGAGCCGATTTACTGCATAACTGGCCTTCACGATTTAACGATTAAATGGATAATCGAGACTATGCTGTTTATCGTACTGACTTGAGTAATGATGATCGGGGCTAGGCGGAAATTTGAATCGCTAAGTTCTCGGTTCATAGAGGATCAATTTGAATGAAATTTTCATTGACCCACATGAGCGTGAACCGGGAGTATATGAATGGTAACCCGGGGCCAGAACAAATTTTTGTTACTCGAGTTAACGTTACTTGTAACTGATCGTTACTCAGGTCACAATTACTGCTGTGACCTGTATATTCCCGTTCAATTACTAAATGCCATTGAAACAATTCAACTGATCGTTTCTCATGGATTATTTAAATGTTAAAATACATAACACTGGCATTGTTGGATGTCCTGATAAATGGTATTTAAGTTAAATGTTTTTGGAACAGGAATATGAGGGGGTGGGGGAGGGGGTAATGAAGACGTGCATACACCATACCAATCTGTTTCACAGAGAATTACGAAAGTCTTCTAATATCTATGTAAAAGATTACTGCCTTCAATACGTGACGTCACAGCACGCGGCGTCAATCATTGTCTCAATGTCGCGTGCATTATTTACATAAGACGTTACTGCTTCGGGCAGAATGCTGCCTTTTAGTCATTTGAATACCCATTTACACTAAATAGGCAATAATTTTTACCTACAAATACGTCAAACGTCTTTATTTATTTTTCTAATACATATAAAATTTTTTTTAGAATTTAATTTGTCGGTGGAAAAAAGTTAATATTTGAGACTCATTAAGTCGCATTGATGTCATCCTTATCAGTGACTGTAGCGACCTAGGGAATATTCACCCCTGATCAGTGTGACACCATACAGTGTGCTATGAGAAAGCTTTTGCCGGACAGCAGCGCTACGGCCTATATACTCTTATTTCAAATTCCAACTGTCAATGGTTATTTTTCGTGTTATGAACAAAGCAAACAATTATGTCTCTTGTTTCGGATTAAAATACAGGATAATCTGTCATTGAGGCAACTGCGGTTGTTCATGGTCGTGAACTTGGCATTTGAACGACTCGGGTAAAATACTTACCAAGAATATGAGATTGTTCACTTTTATAAAATGCCTCTGACAATTGGGTAAAATAAGGTGAAAATATTTTCTTGGCTCTTTCTCCCATTGATGCCAGATGTTGCGTTGCCCAGGTCCGAACCTCTTCCTCGTCATGGTGTAAAATATGTAGATAACGAGCGATAACTTTCTCCTCGCTGGCTAATCTATTATGCTGGGTTAACTGTAAAAGATGTATTACCAAATTGAACATACATTATGCAAGAGCTAAATCTGCCTATTGCCGGTCTTTCATTAGGCCTGAAATATTATCTAAATTATTAATTAGATATTAATTAACTTATCCAGACCCTAATCAATTCTCGGTGGCATCGCTAGCCTGCGATGTTTATTGGATTACGTTCCGTTTTGCTGTTCGACTTCCATTTATAATTAAATCAAAAAATGGATAATCGAGACTATGTTTTTTTATCCTACCGACTTTAGTAATGATGATCGAGGCTAGCCCCAATATTCAATCGCTAACATCGCAGTTCATAGTGGATCAATTTGATTGAAATTTTCAGCTAATTGCCGTTACATTATGTAGTTTTTAACTAGTATAGTGTGAATTGCCAGCTCTTTATCTAATCTATCATAATGTATCTTTAAACATGAAAATAAAACAGTCATTAAAACAATTTATTAGGTCTCAGAATTATTAAGATCAGTAGATGATTTGAATTTTCAACAAATCTACAATAATTTTTAAACGTTTCTTAATACTGGCAAACTGAGCAGCAGTGGATATACGCTAGGCCGCTACAATCATTGAAAGGGATGCCGTCGGGCGAATTAATTTACTCTCAACAGTAACTTGTTTTCTTCTGCAAATTAAATTATAAAACATGTTTAAATTATTAAGAAACAAATAAAATTGCTGAAATTAGTGTAAATGGATAAATATAATAGTAATTGAATGCGTAAACTGAGTAAAAGGCACTAGTTCTGCCAGATCTGACGTCATCCGTAAACCCATAACGCACGTGAACGTAAATGTCAATCATCTCCTATAGAGGTAAAGGGAAATGGAATGAAATAAAATGGGGTTTAACGTCCTACTGTTCTGTTCCAACTGGGCTAATGAAGATGGACATACGCCATGCAGTGTGCAATGAGAGAAACCAATTTTGCCCGGACAGCGGCACTACGGCCTACTCTTTTACGTGCAGCCAATGTGTACATGAGACCTCGGTTTTTCGTCCCATCCGAACGACTAAGAGTTAAAAGAAACAGGTTACTATATTGTATGTCTTCGATCAGTATGAGCATAAATAAACAAGAACATATAGTTTGCTTACCAACAGAAGGAGATCACCAACGTGGCGTCTAAATATTTCAAAATGTATCCCGTCTTCAAGATCGTCAAATTCGGCTTCAAGAATAACCTGGACGAAATTTACTAAAATATTTAATTCATCTTCACTTAAGCTAGTAGCTTTACTGAAATAGAGATATTTAATCGGTAAATATCCCTGTATTTGTTAGAAATCTATACGTCCAGGTTTGTTTCAGTTATGGAACGAGCGGACATTGCGACTAGCCTATGTTTTGGGGTTTTTTTTAACAATATTTTATTCAATAAACTGAATTGGATTAAACAACAGGCAAAGGCCCATATTAGCCTATGGTTGCATGTGCAATGGAGCGGGTTGGCATTGTAGCGGACTTGTCGTATCTGCACCTTATCTTCTTGCAAAGGGATATGTCCCGAGCACATATTACCTTCTGAACAAGAAGGTTATTTGGAGGGCCACGATTGGAATACAGGACGTTTGACTCGTACGTCCATTTTACTCATAACTCGATTAGCATGGCCCACGTTTGGAATCTAGGATATTTTACCCGTGCATCTAGTTTCCTAATGGCTCGATTAACACGAACCATAATTTGAACCCAGGACTTTTCACTCGTACACCCCGTTTCCTAATAACACGGTCCAAGGTTTGAACCCAGGACAATTTACTCACACATCCAATTTCCCAATTTGCACGATTCGAACCCAGGATATTTTACCCGTATATCCAGTTTCTTATCGACTCGATTAAACGGTCCAGGAATGGAACCCAGGATATTTTATTCGTACAACGAGTTTCCTAATGACTCATTTAACACCATCCCAGAAGTTGAAAAACAGTAGGGTAAGTAACCTGCGATACCTCAATGCTTTTACACAGTAATCCAGCAAACGGCGTACTGCAGCTTTGGCACCCATCCAAGTATAATCTGTATTCTTTAAAGGTGTGACGACTCTTCTAAAAACCTCGAATATTATACCTCTGTGGTCCTAGGACAAAAAGAATGAATGGTTTGGTTAATATATCTTATGATACAACGCCCACTTGCTTACTATTCGGCCATCCAACCCCCTATATCTTGTAGACACATTTTGATACTAATATACACGGGTGTTGTGATCGCAACGATAAATGTAAAATGTGCCTACTTTTAGATTCATATCCTCGGTATAACCGATTGCTGACTCGGCAGATTCAAACATTCCACTGAATTGTCCCTCTATTAACTTCAACGAATAGTCTACTAAATCTGGTATCAAAGGGCTGATTAGTTTGGCCTTCCTGAAAAACATAGGCATTCAAATCCGTCAAAAATGTATATTTTCAAATTTCCTAAGCTAAGTAAATTCATATGAGGTATCGAGTGTTTTGTGGTAGAATAAGCAGGTCAATCTATGTCATGACATTGCTGAACGAGGCCACACTAGAGATAAAAAAAAACATAGGAAAACCAATCCGTCAAAATAAATATACTTTCAAATTGTCTAAGCTATGTAAATTCCTACGAGTAGAGGTGTCGAGTGTTTTATGGTAGGGCAAAGATGGATACTATAATCTGGCCAGTAAAACACAACGAATATTTTAGCTGTCGTGGTTGGTTAGACTATTTACTTCTTCAGTCGGTTCATGCGTTGTAAACCGTGTGTATAAAAGGTTTTGTATCCCCGTACGCAAACGGTTCATATTAAGGCTTGAAACTTAGCAATTCTTTTAAAGAAGCGTAGAGTGCTGAAACTGAAACCGCCTTTTCACACCATAATATACAAATGAACGCAAATAGTGGACAGTATTGGTCTATGCCCTTAACATCACAGGACAAGAACAAGTTCAAGACGAAGAACACACTTAAGAACCAAACTGAGGGGAGTTGCTCGATGGTCAGTCCAGAACGTTCCGTATTGACGGACTGCTATCGAATGACAGGGAATTGATTCCTGTCACATACCAATGTCGTTTGAGCGGAAACGTGACGTAATCAAAGTTTCAAGTATGTTATAAGCCACGATTGTAGACCTATTATATTCAATATATGCATGTGTTACCCGATTGATTCCTTCTTCGAGGGACTGAGAGCAGTCCGGAACGTTCAATCATAGAGTATTCCATCGTCTGTATAAACAGCAATACAAAACTTACTTTAAACCCTCTAGAAATTCCTCAAAGAAATAATTGTAATCCTCGCATAGTTTTTCTTCTTCTTTGTCTAACTCGTCAGATTTTGGTTCAACGCGCACTTGGGAAAAATACGAATATATCTTGACGGCGTCTTCCTGAGATTCCTTAGGAAAGTAAAAATAATAAGGACCAAAATGATCAATTAAAGGGCACTGTGCTTTGTTTGAGGTGTTCATCTGAAAAATATGGTGATTGAAATTGCCCTGTGTCCGTGAGATTAAGAAGTATGCACAGACAACTTAGCCAACTATGTTAAATGTCTCAATGAAAAGGGGAAGCAGCGGGGAGCTATATTGTGCCTAGTTTTATTGTATATGTGCAATTCAAATGTTCTGACATTCATAGAGTTCAAATAAACTTATCAGTGGTGCAGGACAGGGGTCCTGACAAGGCCAGCTGTCTAGTTATTCGGATGGTACGAAAAATCGAGGTCTCGTGTAAACACTGGAAAGCACGTAAAATATCCCTTGACAATGACAGTCGGAATTCGATATAAGAGTAAGCCGCGGCAACGCTGTCAGGGCAAAATTTCAACACTGTATGGCGTATGCCCGTCTTCATTAGCCCAGTCGGAGCAGAACAGTAGAACCTTCAACCCCATTTCATTTCATTGACAGCAAATCACAGGAATAATATGGAAATGGTGGCCGGTGAACAAAATTAAACCGTGTATACTATAGTATTTATTTATTGACAGCATGTCAGAACATACATACATTAGCACGGCCCCGTTTGCTTGTGTGCCCCAGGAAACAGCCCAGCGTGCCCATGTATTGATACAGCACTGGAAACACATCCATAAAAATACTTTTACAGTTGTTTACCTTCCAACCACCGCTCTTATTGATGTTGTCAACACACGACCTTAAAACACGATGGCAACCGGATATAGTTATGGCAGTTTTTAATAAACGTATCCACAAATCTCTGTGTTCTTTACACCTGAAAACCAATTATAATATTTGAGTTGAATTCATCAGAACATTATACATTCGTCCTATTCAAATACTGGATATGCTGTTTCTTGTCAGCCCCCCCCCTCCCCATTAAGATCTAAATTCCCAAGTACTTTGAAGGCAAATACCGGGATCGAACCCCAGAGCCATGAATAGAGAGTCAGCATCTCACTGAAGCACCTATATGTAGCGTGTTCTTGGTCTTCTAGTTATGGCAGTTGTTTATATAATTGCTGATTATAGACGCCGTCTAGTCGTTCAGATGGGACAATGGCGTGCACGTAAAAAGAACATAGCAGTTGGAATGTAACGAAGAGTAGACAGAAACAAAATCAACATGCCAACGCTAGATAATCTACCGGTTGGGATTCGATCCGATCTAAATCATAGCAATCTGCAATTTGATCCTTGACAAATAAAGATGCCATCTTTGTAAATATTGAATAGAACGGAGCCAAATTTGGACTGATATTCACAATAGTGTAGTTTGCAAGGGATTATTTAGCGCTAAAATCACGGACAGGGTCTTTAATTTTTATAAAAGGTATATACATGAACCATTGATGCATTTTATTACTTACTTCTTTGTTGATTTATCAAGAATATCAAAAGCAGAGCCTATTAAACGTCCCTCCTCCAAATGACTGTGGCCATGTAATGTTTCCATAAATACTGCTAACTTTGGTGCCATCGTATCGAAAATTGATGTCTTGCCCTGCAAATGTCACAGTGTAACAATTTTAAGAATCGATATCACAGTTACGAAGCTTTACATCGAATTTGTGAAAACATTATATTTATAGATTTTTAAGGAATTCGATTAAGAAAACCGAATTTGACTTCAAGCCTTCGCAATAGAATTTGAATGAGAATGTTGTATTTAAGATCTATGCATACCAAAGACTATTTGACGAAGATAGTCCGAATTGTCATTCGTGAAAATGTTTTAGACGAAACACGCAGAGTATAACGATCTTTAAAGGGCTGTGTCAAAATAGTTATGAAATTTTCGATCGAATATGTGACATGCCTATGAGTACATATAGGTGGCATATAAAGAGTATGGTGTCCATTAAGAAAAGGTTTTGCAAGAGAGAGAGAGAGAGAGAGAGAGAGAGAGAGAGAGAGAGAGATGGGTTTAACGTCCACTGGACACAAACTAGGTCATTTCGGGACCAACATATCATTCATTTTATTTTCAATAATTCGCTTGCGCGTAGGGGTCTTTATCAGTGGAAGGAAACCAAGGGACCCGGAGAAACCCCACGAAGTTGGATAGGCGATCCTACTCCTAGTCACGTAAAACCGAAAAGGTGTTGAATGAAAATATCAATTATCACCAACCTGAACCTGTTTCGGTTTAACATCAGAATAGTATTGACCCATGATATTTAACAATGAAGTAATATCCGGTCCTGTAGTTTTATTACACAATGTAGCTATAAAATCCATCGTGTCTCCACATATATTTTCAAGCTGATCAGTTTCTCTGTAATATAAATATTGTCAATGCATCAGTCTGATTAAAAGGCAGACCCTATTTCGTTTCGTTTTTTTTTTAAGTTCAAAATTTCGTTTTACTTGCGCTAACTACACTAGGATCTGGAAGGGTTGTTACAATAACCCGCGTTCTGGATGATGTGAGGTCTGTTGCGGCGAGGTTTATTTTTTGGGCGGGAGTTGCACGGAACAGTGGGTAACCCACTAGAAACATCAACGCTGATTAGTTAACCAAATGTCTGACTCCATATGGTCAAAAGCCGCTCATATGACCTCTGACGCGTCCTTCCTTCCACTACAACCGGTCAGATCTTCATGTAGTGAAGACCATCGAAAGTATAAAAAATAACCGCAATGAAATATAGATCTGTATTTTACTAAGATTGTCAACGAACGGTCTTATACAAGTATCGGGCATTCTCTTTAGACCTAATTACAGGATACTACCCATTACTTCAATACGATTACGGAAAGTTGGACATTTTCTAGCACCGATTCAATAGTATAATTTCAATAACAGAACGTACTTTAGACTTTTAATAACAGTCCTCAGAACTGAAGTCGATAAATACAATTCCAGAACGAAATGTAGGCCTTTAATAACATCGTCAAGAATCGTATTTATGGTATAATGGTAATGCGATGACTTACTAACAAATCTTCAAAATTGATTCTATGGAATAAATGCAATAACAAAACCGATAACAGAATATAAGTGCAATGATTTTATTTTTGGAAACAACAATCCTGAACCGATCAGGATTCAGATAGTCGATGACATAAATGCAATAATAGCAACAATACTTACTCTAGGCCTTTAACAATATCACTTAAAACTGATTCGATGTTTTTCAAGTGCCCATCTTTACATTCCGGGTCGCTTACAACATCCAGAATCTTTTTTAAATGACCCTTATATACTTCTGCATTATTAAATTCCTGTCAAAGAGAGAGGTAGGGTGTAATGTCCACTCAAAATATGTCATTTCGGGACTAACATATGATATAATTGTATTTCAATAATTCGCTTACTTGACGGGTTCTTTACCAGTTTGAGGAAAACCCACAAGGTTGTACATGCGATCCTACTCCTTGCGACGTACATGTCTGGGGTCAAAACCACGTGACTTGACACAATGCTAGGCCCCACGCACCCACAAGTCTAAGTAATAGTTTACATAACATTTCAGGCCTTAAGAAAGACATAGGAAGATTTAGCTCTTGCATAATGTATGTTTAAATGATTGTTCAAACCATGATATAATAAATACCTGAATTTGATGCCAACTGAATATAATATCGATGATGAAATCATATGAAATCGGGTTTAACGTTCTGCTTTTCTGCTCGCGCCAATCGATGTGCTATGGGGGAAATGTTGCCCGGAGAGAGACTGCTCTTATTTCACATTTCAACTGACAATGGTTCTTTTACAAGCACGTCCCTGTCTACACGGGGCCCCGGGTTTTCGTCCCATCCGAACAACTAGACACTGTCCATTCCAGGCCAGCGTCCGTCCTGAACCACTGACATGGTAGAACCACGCCGGAATATGCTTTGAAAATGAACGAATGATCTTACCATATAGGGACCTCGGTTAGGAAGCCGTATCTCGTTGACTAGATCAGCGTGACCCTTATAGGTGACTGCATCACTTAAAGATAAGCGGAAAAATATATAGAGTTCCAGATAGTCTTCTTGCAGAGCCTCCTCAACATCGTCCCTAAAATTGAAAAGATGTGAATCGACATAAATTTAGTAATATAAAAGCAGTGAACTGGGGTTTAACATCCTGTATTTATGCATCAACAGACTTCGCTACCGTTGTTTCGCGAGAAAGTTCATCGGACTTTTTCGGCGTGGTTTCCCCTTGTCAGTGATCCAGGACGGACTGCCTGGACAAGGACGAAAATCCGCGATTGGCGAGCACAGATTGGCGAGCACGTAAAATATCCCCTGGCAGTTGGAATTCGATATAAGCGTATTTCAATCATAGCATAGTTCATTAGCCCAGTCTGGGCGGAACATTAGGACGTTAAACCCCATTTCATTTCATTCCATTTTTGCATCAACATAGATAAGTAAAAGAAAATATTTTCCGAGACAGCAGCTTAATAAGGTCGGTATCTCTCAGAAGCAGGGCATAAGGAAAAAGTGTATGTTTATTTGAAATGTCAGAATTTCCATATGATCGGAAATTAATATAGTTGGGTTGTACAAGGGAGATTATTCTGAAATTTGAGTATGCAAGGGTGATGTGGCGATAATGATTCAAGCAAGCATAAAATACAAGGCCGGCAAGGGCAGATAATTCTGAAACTGATCAAAGTACCTGTAACAAAATAGGATCACATGTACTACAAATTTTAAAACATAAAATCAATAACATGCCGTATTAGTAATAATTTATATTTTAATATAATCTGAAAATACGTACGGTAATCTAACATTGGTGATTTGACCAAAAACCGCTTTGACACAATTATAAAATTCGTCAACATCTTCTTCGGGATGTGGTGTAAATTGCTTTTGAAAGGCTTTCAAAATAACTTTCCATTCATCTACAGAGTATCTCTACAAACGAAAACATGTTTCGCATACCATTTAAATACAAGGAAACAACTGAATACCCACTTTCCCCAAAGCTTCACAATATTTTTAAATGAAATTAAATTTAAGAAACATTTTAACGATGATCTTATATGCCCGATGTATTCGACCCAATATCAAAAAGACACTTATTTCAAACTAAACTATTTAATCATAAAGGGATCTGTATGATTACAATTCCCTGGTAGACTATAGCTCTCTGATGTGGTCCCTCGAGTATTTTCTCTTATGGGTTTCCCTTGTTATTGATGCACAAAGGATAGACGTTAGGTAGAAACGACACACGGAGCACGTACAGGAATCCATAACAGTAGAAATTCGAAGACAGGGGTGGATCCAGAGGGGGTGGGGTGGGGGCCGACATTCCCCCCCCCCCCCCCGCTCAGCTACAAAAATTTTCGGCACTCAAAGCACGAGATAATAATATAGACATTATGTGATATCACAATTAATGCTTTGCATCCATGAAATTGAATCACAATGTCATTGTATTAATTCATAATAAAAATTGACGCCAAACGAGGTGTTGAATTTCTCTGTTTAAAAAGCTCAATGTGTATGTATCTACGCCAAAATGACGATAGAGACCATGCGGGGGGGGGGGGATACATTGTCTCAGGAACCTGCCAAACCCCCTCCTACAAAAATTCCTGGATCCGCCCCAGAGAAGATTTGGCGGGAACGCCGCTGTCCGAGCAACATGTACCTCATAGCACGCTTTATAGTTTATTAGCCCGGTTGATACATAAAAGTAATACGTTAAACCCCATTTCACTAAATTCCCTCGACCAATGAAGTACCTGTAAATATTCGGTAAAATCCCGCCCGTCTTTAAATATGTATTCGAACACTTTCAGATGACATGTTCTTGGACCCAATTTCAGAATGTCAATTAGATAATCTACATAGAGTTCATTAAGAATTTGTCGTTTATCATCGAATTCGTCATCACTGAAATGAAGAAACACGTATAAAATGGTTTATTTTAAACACTCACGGATTGTAGGGTTTGGAAGGGGGGTGGCCGAATGGTTAGCACGTGCGTGCTGTATCATAAGGCCTGTCATTGAGTCAACTGGCGTGGTTTCGGATCCCCGGTTGTACGTGACAAGGAGTAGGGTCGCCTGTCCAACCTCGTGGGTTTTCTCCGGGTCAGCGGGTTTCCTCCCACTGATGAAGACCCGCAAGTGAATTATTGAAATCAAATTAAACCATATCTTAGTCCCGAAATGACCTGGTTTGTGTCGTGTGGACGTTAAACCCCATTTCTCTCTCTCTCTCTCTCGCGTAGGGTTTGGTGACTCACAGACTTGCCTAAAAAACGGGTGAAAGTTTTGTAAATAGTACGGACACAGTACTTGTCACGTACATACTGCACGTCTGACCTATTCAAAGCGTGGGAAAAATTTTTTCGTAATTCCGTGGAAAGCATAAGACTAATTTACGTGCACCAGAAGTACCTGCAGAAGTACTCCTGGCGAACGTGAATTAAAGTTTTGCCTCCGGCATATCGACCAAAGAAATAGAATATTTTCATTTAGCCTAAAACATAGGACCAATTAGCACGGACCATATGACCTCGTGCCTTTCCTCTGCTTAGACCAGCTGGCTGTAAAAGCTCAAAAACCTTAGTCGTGTCGGTATGGTGACAATGACAGCCATATTTGTGCTTTCTGTAGTCTTATAAACCTGTAACGGTACATCTCTTTGATCTTTGGGGTATATTCTATGCTCGGAATAACTTGCGGTCTGTAAGTCGGGGCGACTTTGGATATATACAGGGAAATTTGGGGTTATTATTCTGAAAGTTTTTCTTTAAACCTGTAAAGAGTTATTCATCCAGGGTAGGTTTTTATCACTAAGAAAACATGATATAAGGTTTTTCTTACGGAAATTCTGGGATATTCTCATCTTGCGTACATGTAAACATAGACGGTTTATAAGCAAGATAAATTCATCGACTTCGGTTATGCCGGCCTCGGTTTTTCTTTTTCTCGGGTTATTTTCCTCAGTCTTTCTTTCCCCAACATAACCTCAGTCTCGTGCTTTATCCTACACATACATGCCCGACAAAATCCTAAGTGTATCGTGCAGATTTTCTGCACTGATTGCACGTCACACACGAAGGTAGTAAGTGAGATATACTTCTGACTTGCGGGCCGCAATCATAGTAAGTCAGGAGTACTTATGTAGTATGTCTAATGCACGTCAGCCGTGTAAAGACCTTGCGTCTGACGTGTTCTTACTGTCATCGCAAAGCCCTTGCCGTGTTCCTGACTTGTTGCCGACGCACAACACGTCTGTGGGCTTCATACGTAGTGTATGGGTTTGTGATTTTTCGCAGACCCGTAGAAGGTGCATGTGCATGACCAAAAGCCTCTACGGGTAGGCTGAGAACTTCTACGTTGCCGAACCCACGCAAGTGCCACGTAGTAGCCCGTACAGCAGGGTGTGAGCTAAGCTTAACAGAATAAATCTGGGTTTGGTATAGTATCAATGGATTTATAGTAGAGATATAAATTTCCTTTCATTGTTTTTATGCTTTCGGGGAGGGGGGGGGGTCGAATGCTTAGCACGTGCACGCTGTATCATAGAGTCTGGCAATGATTCAAATGGCGTGGTTTCCATTTCCCGGTTGTACGTGACAAAGAGTAGGTCCCTCTTGGGTTTTCTCCGGTTGCCTCCCGCTGATTAAAATCCTTACGCGCAAGCGTATTATTGAAATAAAATTGAACCATATGTTAGTCCCGAAATGACCTAGTTTGTGTCGAGTGGACGTTAAACCCCCCCTCTCTCTCTCTCTGTGGGAAAATAGTCTGTCATTACTATGAAAGGCGCAATTCAAAGATTTGAACTACAAACGACACACGACCTCTGTTTTAATCAGATTGGGAAAGTATTCGGCCATTGCTATGAAATACGTCAATCAAAGATTATTTGTCGGCGATATCAGAAGTTATATCGCCTATTATAGCTGGAATTCAGAGTCACTGGCCAACTTGTTAGCTATATGAACTTCCTAAATAAATATTGTGTTAATAAATTGATGGGTCGATCAGTATTGTCACAAACCCAACCTATCGTGCTCAACTGTGGAGATTGTTCCATCGGCTACATTTCGGTACAGTTTGCTATGGATTGGTTAAAGTATCAATAAGCACACAGCTCATCCATTAATCCACACGACAATCGCCGTTGCGATGTAAAAGATAATCAGAAAAGTTCCGAATATTCATAAAGAATCTTACTAAATTTGTTTGTTAATGGAGCCAATTAAATCCTTCACCATATACAATGTTGAATCGCTATCCTTGCCAAAGTTTTCCACGCAAATTTTAATCTTCAGTGCCTTAAATGCCGAGCAACAAACGTCAACGATCTCATCTGGTGGTCCTCCTTCGGTTGATATCCTCCACTTTTCAACACGACCATTGAACTTGTCCTTCTCATCCTCAGATGGATTCTCAAAATTAGCATTATTGATAATATTTATTATGTCATCTGAAAATAATGAGAGAAAAGTAAAAAACGAGCCTTAACGCCCATTCAACATAAATTGGATCATATCCGGAAACACTATTCTAACTCCTTATCATGTGTAATTGGGATTCTTCCATTTCGGTTCCCACTTGTCGGGAGAAGCGCATGTGCAGCTGAGAAGTAAAAGCCAATCGAGTGTGACGAAAAACCGATGTACGTAAAATTACCCTTGACAGTTATAATTAAATAACACGTATGCGGCAAAAAAAAACTGTTCGGGACAAATTGTCCCTCCTCGCATTGCCGTCTCGAAGTCTCATGAATAAATAGGGTGTTGGCAAGGCATTAAACCCCATTCATTTACTCATTGATTGAGCACAAATTCCACTAATTGGTTCAAATAAAGCATGTTTTACAGCTGCAATTCCAGCACCCCACATCTCTCATCCCTACTTAACTCTCAGTTAAACCCACTTGGTCCAATATTAAAGGGACAATAACACTCTTGCTGGCTTGATAGCTCCAGAAAATAAAAAAAATGCCTTATTCTAAGTACTAGATGTGTTAATGCCCTACCTGTTGTGTAAATTATCCATTACATCCTTTTTTACTTGTCCAGAGGGTTCAAAAATATTTTTAAATCGAAGTTTCATTTGAAACGGTTTACGTTAGACGTTTCAAACCATTATGTTGAATTTTTCAAAATTTTTAAATAAGGTGTGTTAAGATGAAATTTGTATCATCAATTAATTGAAATATTCTAAAAAGATTATTCTAAAGATTGGGACATATTATTCAGTTACAACAAGAGTGGTATTGAGCCTTTAACCCACTGGACACTCGACCTTTAACCTTAATATACTATTTCATTTGTGTCCATGTATCGTCAAGGGAACATAACTTTAAACTGACGCAAACATAGTCTTTTTGTAGTCAATGGAACACGTCTTTAAATATAAGCCAACATATCTGTTTAATTAACCACATGTATCGCCATATAAATCGATATAATGCCACTCAGTAAACCCTTTGTATTAATAACTTTTATTTAGATCCATTTTTTTCAATTTCATACACAGGAAATAATAATTAGGCTTCTGTGTTAACATGATCACGTCATTAGTGGCAGTGTCAAGTCATGAGTCGTGTTTTCGTAAAATACTACACTTTAGAGCATCATAGAGAGAAATGGGGTTTCGCGTGCACTCGATAAATCTAGATGATTTCGAGACTAACTTAGGCTTAAATTTAACGGCCTTTTGCAATCGGAGAAAATCGGAGGAAAGTGAGAACCCGGATAAAACCTGCGAAGTTCGGACAGGCGACCCTGCTCCTTGACGCTACATTCTTGAGATTGAAACCACAAAACTTTAGCCCCTCAACTATACTATACTCTATATAAAGTGGGTGTAGCAGTGTATTAGTCACCTGACTCTCGACATTTTTCAAACTCAACATTCGTTTCCCAGGGATGGCAGTTCTAATCGTTCGGATGGGATGAACACCCGACATCCACTCGTATGCGCATTGACGTGAACGTACAAGCCCCCTTGGCAGTTTGTCTGGAATTTACCGAAGTATAATTATGATAGAGAGGGAGAGAGAGAGAGAGAGAGAGAGAGAGAGAGAGATATATATGGGGTTTAACGTCCACTTGACACAAACTACGTCATTTCGGGACTAACATATGGTTCAATTTTATTTCAATAATTCGCGCTTGCGTATAAGGGTCTTTAGCAGTAGGAGGAAACCGGAGGACCCGGAGAAAACCCACGAGGTTGGACAGGCGACCCTATTCCTTGTCACGTACAACCGGGGAATCAAAACCACGCGAGTTGACTCAATGACAGACCTTATGATGCAGCGCGCACACGCTAACCATTCGGCCATCCAACACTCCCGAAGTATTATGATGGCGAAACTTAATTAAACCACAGTCCAGTTAAATTTAGATGATTAATCTATTGTCTACAAACAGGTTCGCATTTATTGATAATGAATAAATCGGTGTTCAGTAATTCAAACATAAGGTTGTTGGTTCAAGAACACAGTCTATTGTCCAGCGAACACACAATGCCTTATATAGAAGTCCCGTGTTCGATCCCGGTGTTTAGTCTGACAAGGGACACAGTATAGTCGTTCAGATGGGACTAAAAAGGGTCCCGTGTATACATTGGCATGCACTTAAAAGAACCCTTAACAGTTGGAATTCGAAATGAGTAGGCCATAGCGCTATCAGCGCCAAATGTCCCTTATAGCATACTGCATGACGTATTCCTATCTTCATTAGCCCAGTCGGTGCAGAAAAGTGCGATGTTAAACCCATTTTCATTTCAATAATTTTAAATGTATATTGTGTACCGTCCTCTATCAGTGGAGGTAATTTTCTGCTACTATTTACGGTGAGCCACGCACCAAGCTCTTCGGACTAGCGTTTAAAAGCTAATAGATAACCCTTTCCTGGCTCAAACTATGTCATTTTGGGACTAACATATGGTTCAATTTTAATTCTCCAGTGCATAGGGGGGGGGGGGGAGGACGCGGAGAAATCCCACGGGGTTGGAAAGGCGGCCCTACTCCTTGTCACTGAACAGAGTGGAATCGAAACTACAACCCAACCACAGAACTTATAATCTAGCACGCACGCGTTAAACCATTCGGCCAACCCCAAGCCCCTCATTTTAATCAGGCATGGTAATAAAATATCCAGTTGTCTTGTTAGGCACTCCGATTGGAGACAGGTACATAAATGAAATGAAATGGGGTTAAACGTCCTAATAAAGATGTAGATGCGCCATGTAGTGCGTTAGAAGGGAATCTTGCCCAGTCATCGGTAATTCCGCCTATTCTTTATCAATCTTTGTTTTTGCCAAGCCCTCCGCCATGCAGTACTCACAAGGCCAAATCAGACTAAAATCTTTGTTTTTGCCAAGCCCTCCGCCATGCAGTACTCACAAGGCCAAATCAGACTAAAATGTTCCGAGGAACTTTCTCGGCTAATACGACCGTAAAACGACCGAACACAAAATCCAACCCAATCAAATCGAAAGCAGTTTTTACCCAACCCAAAGCGATATTATTTTAATATTATTTTATATTTGTTCTCTAGAACAGATTAATAATTTACCGTCGTCAATATTTAAGGGTTATTCTCACTGAAATAGAGTCTGGCAAGGGTAATTGCATAGTCGTTCGGATGGTACGAAAACAGACTTCCCGTGTACACATTGGCGTGCACGTGACAGAAACATTGGCAGCAGCAGTTCGATAGAAGAGAATGCCGTAGCGCAAGGGTCCGGACAAAATTGCTCTCATAGTACACTTTATTGCGTATACGTAGGACGTTTAATCCCATTTTATTGCTCATTAGAAAACCGTCTAGTAGCTTGAATGGGGCAAAAAACCTAGATCCACGTAGGTTGAAACGTCGCTCTCCGGGAACAGTTCCACTCATCGGAAAATATGTTCCCGTCTTTATGGTACGGTCCTCGCGCACTTACTTTTATCCCGGTTTGACCAGAAAAGTAATACCTTAAATCTCAGTTTAATAAAATATATAATTATGCCTAATAATCCATGCACGTATTTGTCTTTCTTGGCGGATGGGTTACTACTGATTGTGCTTTCAATTATATAACATAGCTTCAATAGTCAGTGCGGAAGGACTGCACTACACTCAAGTCAAACCAGTCAGACATTAATTCAATAATTAAAAATAATACAAGAAGTAACAAATACTTGCAGGATACCCGGCTTCGCTCGGGGGTCATAACTCCGAAACCGGAAGTGGTAGACTAACGCCACCTGGCCTATGTTACTCCCCGGTCCGAGCTACCCCTATACCCCAAATTTCAGACTCGGGGCAGACCTAGTGTAGCCACCAACCCCTAACAGACAGACAGACAGACACACGACAGACACAAATATTAGTATAGATTAATATACTTACCAGCCATCGTGATTTTAATCAGAGATTCACAGTACGAAAATTTGTTAACTGACCAGCAGTCGAAATAGCTGTGATTTAAAGGTCTTTGTGTATAGCGAAGTGAGAATCAATAGACATGCGTAGCAACCTACCAAATAGCGACGGCTATTATCAGTAAACAGTCGAGGTATTAGATCCTTGCCTCAATACATCGAATGTTGACTTACACTTCACATGTAAATATATACTTATATTGCGTAATATTGATACGTTACCAAAATACTACCAAATAATATTCAACCAAAACTAAAACAATTTATTATCAGAACAAAAAAAAAATATATATATATATCATTATTGTCTTCAATAATTCTATTAACAACACAAACAATATGAATAGTTCCGACTATATACATGTACGTAAAGATACATTATGCAAGAGCTTATATGCCTATTGCAGGTCCTTCATTAGGCCGTAACTTTCCCCGGTTGGAGCTGACGTGCCATAAAACCATCTTTCTTTCTTTATTAACTTGCGAAGACCATAATCAACTCTCAATGTCAACGGATGCTCGAGATTTTTCAACGGATAGAAAGGCGATTGGTGGTTCATAATTTAATTAGCAAATGGATAATCGTAAGTCTGTTTACTATCGTAACAACGGTAGTAATGATCATCGAGACTTCGCTCAGAATGAAGATAATCCCCTTTCATTATCTAGTTTTTAACTATTATAGTGAGCACTATCAGCTCTTTATCTTAATCAATCTTACATAATGCATCTTTAAAAAACTTAAACATACATTACGCAAGAGCCAAATCTGCCTTTTTCAGGTCTTTCTTTAGGCCTGAAAGTTTATCTAAATTATTAATTAGACATTAATTAACTTATCCAGACCATAATCAACTTTCGATGTCATTGCTTGCCTGCGATGTTTACTGGATTAGGATCTGATTTGCTGCTCAACATTCATTCATGATTTAATAATGAAATGGATAATCGAGTCTATGTTTTTATCGTACCGACTTTGGTAATGATGATCGAGGCTATGCCGAAAATTCAATCGCCAAATCCTCAGTTCACATTTGATCAATTTGATATTTTCTGCAAGTTCCTTTTACATTATATAGTTTTTAACTATTATAGTGAGGACTGTCAGCTCGTTATATAATCCCCCATAATGTATCTTTAATTTTAATTAGATAGATTTTTTTAGAAGGGAGAGTGGTAATATGGGCCTACCCTGTTATTCTTATGGAATAAGATCTAGTTTTAAAATGAAACTTTTATAATGAGAACTGCCAGCCCGTTATCTACTCCCCCATAATGTATCTTTAATTTTAATTAGATTTTTGTTTAGAAGGGAGAGCCCGCCTACCTTGTTATGTTTATTGAATAAGATATACATGTAGTTTTAAAATGAAATGGGGTTTAACGTCCCACTGGGCTATGCTGTTATGCATGGAGATATATTCCCAGACCACGGCGCTACTACCTACTCTTATATCGAATTCTAACTGCAAAGTATCTTTTACGTGCACTCCAACGAGTACACCTGATCTCAGTTTTTCGTCACACCCGAATGAATATAGTTTTAAAAAAATGAACAGATATACAATGTACACCATTTACCATGCTGTTTTCTTCTAAATAGGATTTCAGGAGGTATTGTAAAACAAATAAACACATTTAAACAACACAATATGCATACAATTTACATTGTGAATAACAGAGTATAGCATAGTGTACGGTCGCTTTAAAAATATACCGCAGTCCATTAATAATATACTCCAGACCATTAATAATATACCTTAGTACATTGATAATATACCCCAGTACATTATTAGTATACCCTAGTACATAAATACATTAATAATACACCCCAGTATACCCCTAGTACATTAAAATATACCCTAGTACATTAATACTACACCCTTGTGCATTAATAATATACGCCAGACCATTAATAATATACCTTAGTACATTGCTAATATACCCCAGTACATTATTAGTATACCGCAGTACATAAATACATTAATAATACATCCCAGTATACCTAGTACATTAAAATATACCCTAGTACATTAATAATACACCCTTGTGTATTAATAATATACCCTAACACATTGATAATATTGGGCAATTAGACAATCTGTATCAATTTACAATGAATATAAATCTTGAGGAAATTCCAATACATCCTTACAACTTGAATCAAATGGTTTATTCATTGATGCACTTCATTTGAATTAAGAATAATTAATTAAGAAATAATACATGGTAATATTTTAGAACATATACACGTCTTTAAGTGTAAACAAGCTACATTAATCTATACTTGAGGCGTTATGAAAAATGTATTTAGATTATAACACATGATAATGTTCTAGAAGACTGATACCTGTGTTACTAATGCAATTAACGTCATATACGGGAAGAGTTATGAAAAATATATTAAGATTATGATATGATTATATTCTGAAAGACTAATATTCGTTTTGAGTAAAAACTCCAAACTAAGCTATACCTGTGTTACTAATGCAATTAACGCCATATTTTGCGCAAAAAAAAAAGAAAAAAAAAAAGGTTTTCTTAATAATAATTACACCTGTTGGTGTACATGCAATAAAACGCTTGTAGAGGTGTAGCTCATCCCATTTTAAAAACACTGTGGTGTAACGTTTACACTTCATTAACACCGCTTATAATTTTTAATTACACTCATTGTAACAGTGTAGGACGGGACTGACACATGGTTCAATTTTATTTCAATAATTCGCTTAGTTGTAGATGTTTTAGCAGTGGGCAAAACTGGGGAAAAGCCACGGCGTTAATTTGAAATAAATAACAGAACATAGCTGTATATATAGCATGCCAATAATGAATATAATTGATGATTTTTATTGATAAATACACTTGTCACCGGTCTAACAGCTTCAAATGTATAATAGTGAGTCAATTGCTCTAAAGCTCCAGATTCTTAAATCATAATGTATTAATAATCGTTTTAATTACTACCATGTTTATGGCCTGTTATCATTTAATTGATCACATATATATAATCATAATATATATACTTCTAACAGTCCACGTTTACATTATCAGCTTTACATTCATCCAGGTTCTTATCACACAGCACCTTAATATTTGATTCATTCTTGAGTCTGTTAATGTATGATTCTTTAATAGCAATGGCCGTGCAGTTTTCATACTGGTAATTAACAGGAAAATTTCCCTTCACATTAGGCACTGAATAGAAAGCAAAAACACACGATCAAATCAAGATGAAATAGGATTTAACGTCCAACTTATTTGCGTCGACCGGAATATTGCCAAGGTGTAATCGGGATCTAAGTTTTTTGTCCGATCCCTGTACAACTGATTAGGGGACACCATGCAGGAACATTTCAAAGAACGTTGTCGGCCAACAAAGGGATCGATCATTGGATCTCCTGGTTACTTACCGAGTCAGCACCATACTACCTGTGGCACTACAGCTGGCAGAAACAATAGAAACTGACAGTTTTAATGGCTTGATGGTTGAAATTCAAATATCATAAAGGACAATGCTCAACGGGTAAATAATTATGTCATGCAATCAAGTTGGATTCTTTGACCAGCTTATTAAAAGTAAGTTTCCACTTGATCAAAGATTTTCATAAAGAAAGTTATGCCCCTTCATACCTCAAGTTTGTAAGCGTTGACGAGATAGAGTATTATCCAACCCAAGCGCTACTCCTGGTCCAACGCGCAAGTCTCCGTCAATTCAGGTGCGATCAACGTTAAACTTGTTATGGTTGTTCTTAGACAAGGTGTTTTGCTTGGGCCCTGGTCCATATAGCACTATCGTACTGGTCGCTATTAATATCAGAGCAGTGATTTCACTGATTGATTTTACACAACGGTGCTTTCTTACCCACTCTTGTTAGTAATCTTTTATCCAGCATTACATACAACCAATCGTTTTAAAAAATGATAATGGATTGACAAGGGAAATGTCTAACATTTCAGTAGATTCTGGAGATCAACTTAGAAAAATGTATGGTGAGTTCACTACTGATTACTGTCTTATACCTTCCAATATCCAAATATTATCAATTATTCTTACGTGTACAGTTTGGTAAAGATCCCCATGGTAGCCAATTACCACTTGCTCCACAGATATACCATGGTTGTGGAGATCGTGAACCCAACTGAAGAGTAAATTCTATATTACAATATACTAAACAAACTCTAGCATATTCTGTCTTCCATCCATTACATACACGGGCACCATTAATTGGTATGTTTAGTTCAGGACACGGATGAGCTAGAATATAAAATAGAAAACGAACCCCAAAGACCACCTTTGACACATGAATTTTTTTTTTTTTTAAACTTTCACAAAGGGGAAACAATACTGATTAACAAGAGTGGGGCTTGGTTAAATACCCATATAGACTGTCCGTGCAGCTAGTTATATAGATGAACTGTATATTCCCAGAAAAGAAACCTTTCCTAGCTGACCATAGGGGTGTTACACAGGAGTCGGTATTGGGCCCAGAAAATAATCAATAACCCAACAGCCGATTTGCGATCTAATCTCATCCTTCGTTCTCTTCCCTTTTTTCAGGACAGTTCGTTTGAACCACAACTTAACGAAGATCGTTTGAAATCAAGTAACAGGGATGTAACAAGCCGGATGGATGGCTGATTTCAGAAATGATATTATTGACTGTTGTTCGTTTATGGTTAGATTACAACATTCGAGTGTAAAATACGTTCATACTGTAATCTATCATACCATGTTCCAACTTACGTGAGGGTGGGGTGGGGTGTTTGGGTAGCGCGTGGTCGTTGTATCATAAGGCCTGTCAATGAGCGAACTGGCGTGGTTTTGATTCTCCGCTTGTACGTGACAAGAAGTAGGGTCGCCTGTCCATTCTAGTGGGCTTTCTCCGTGTCCACCGGTTTCCGCCCACTGCTAAAGACCCCTACGCGCAAGCGAATTATTAAAATAAAAATAAACCATATGTTAGTCACGAAATGATGGTTTGTGTCGAATGGGCGTTAAACTTACGTCTAACTTTTACTGTAAATTTGCATTCTGCCTGTAAACCATTGAATGGTTTGGTAGCCACATACTGAACAACGTTGTCACCCCATGGTGCCACAACAAAGCTTTCTGGGTAATTAGTTACCATCGTGATTTCCTTATTCATTGGATCTGAGAATTGTGGGATAGGCCATGTGACATTGTGTGTCGTTTCGTTGGTATAAATTAGTATATCTTCAGAACATTCGGTCATGACTGGCGGATGAACATCTTAAAGAGAAAATATTACATTAAAAGAATTACTCTAAACCAATTACGATTCATCAAAGCCCACGGTCGTCGGTATGAAATCCATGTTGAGGGGATGGATAGAGTTCAGAGCAGTTAACCAATATGGGGTTCTGGGAACTGGTTCCCGCGATAACTGTTAAACTAATGAAAACATATTTACAAATTATGAAAACACGAACATGTAAATATTTAATATATTTAACTATAAAATAACGAAGGTCACAAACAAGACCGACTCATTGAAATCTAATTAGAATTCATAAAATACAACGTGAACACAAACCATTTTCACAGTTAATCCCACTCCAACCAGGTTGACATTGACATGTATAACTTTCTACACCATTTATACAGCTTCCTCCATTTTTGCATGGATTACTGGAACATGTATTAACATCTAAAATTACAATAATATAAAAATTACTTAAACATGTATTAACATATTTAATTATGTATATATATATATCTAAAATTAAAATAATATACAAGTTACTGAAAAATGTATTAAGGCAAGGCTCTATGCTGGTAAATTCTATTTTTTGCGATTTTGTTTAAATTTCACTTTTAACAGTAAAATGTAAGCACACTTATTCCCTTTAACCAGTTTAAAAAGTTTTATTCAAAGATGTCCCCAAATACCTAAAATTTGCATTCAAATGAACCTCATAATTACGCGTTATTGTTTTAGTTCAACACATCAATATGCAAGCATTCAAAACACGTTTTCTTGGCTTCTTATCGGTCGATTTCCATAATTTTTGTCTCTTATAACCTAATTTATAAAGTACACTGTGTTTGAAACAAGGCCTATGATTAGTCAAAAGATCAAACAGCTATCCCGCAGACGCGTTATCGACCAATCAAAAGGCGGTTTACATAGCACCTTGACCGTCACTTGACCCAACATGGCAGACGTCTCGATAACAAAGAAAACGTCAAATGACGAAATACTCTTGAGTTTCATGGGAAATCCTCCGAACAAAACGCTCTGATCGAAGATCTAAACGGCAGCAGCTTTACTCGACCAGTACACGTGAAAATGGGGAAGATTGACGAAGTTGAAGACGAGAAAATCACGCTGAATACATCATTTGCTAAACTTGGAATTCAACATAATACCCAAACAGTATTGGATAAAAATGAAGATTGTCGGCCTGAAAGTTACTGGTTACTGGAACATACATTAACATTTTAACTGCAATTTACAAAATGTTAAAAACATGTATTAACATTTTAAATTGTAATGTACAATTTACTGGAACATGTCTTAAAATTTGACATTACAGGTTATAGTAATGGTTTGTCCGAACGTGTTTTAAGATATATTATTAAACATTATGATGAAAGACCTTAATCTTCCTATTACAGGTCTTTCTTTAGGCCTGAATGGTTATCCAAATTTCAATTAGACATTAATTAACTTATCCAGACCATTATCAACTCGCTATGCCAACGTTAGCCTGAGATATTTAGTGGATTTTAATACATTTTGAGATTGATAATTTAACGTAAAAATGGATAATCGAGACTTTGTTTATTATCGTTCCAACGTTAGTAATGACGATCGAGGCTAGCCTAAAATTGAATCGCTAATATCTCGGTTCAGCGTAAAGCAATTTGACTGAAATTTTCAGCATATTCTGTTTTTCATGATCTATTTATTAACGATTATAGCGAGAACTGTCAGCTCTTTATCAAATTTTACCTAATGCCCCATTAAAATTAAAATCGATAGACAATTTATTCAAAGTAGGCCTATTATTGATGATAGTATAACCTAAATGAAATGAATGCGGTTTACCTTTAATTTTATGTTCGTACCGGGCATGTATCCACGCGGTGCACTGTGTAATGAGTGACATTTTCCCGGGCAGTGGCGCAACCGCCTACTTTACTCTCATATCAAATTTAAAAATATATATATAACAGTCACATGACACTCTGACATACTAAACTTATTGTCTGTTCTCAAACGGATCTAACTGTAAACAGATAGCCTAATTGTAATTCAAGAAGTATTTATTCTGCTTCCATTAAATGAAACTGAAAAGGGCCTATGTAGTCTGTGTGTGTATGTCAGATGTAAAACGGAGTAGAATCGCATTACAAAACAGTATACTAATATTTGGACATGACGGCCATTTAGGACAGAAATCTTTTCTCGAAGTATGAAATAGATGTGTCCCTGTGCACAGAATGCGCACTCTGAGTGCTCTATGATTCACCCCCGCCCCACCAACCTCTAAATACAACAAAACACCTAAAATTACAGAATTGTGGTTAAGAACTTACACTGACATTGTGCTGTTACTCCATTCCACCCACCGTTTGCCTGACATGTTCTGCTGGAAGAACCGGATGTTATATTATAATCACTGTGACAACTGTATGTAGCAGTACTGCCATAGTCTAGACTGTTGTAAGACACTTCCCCATTGGTTGGTTTTGGTGGCGGGGCACATGTCACAGCTTCAAAATAAAACTTTGCCATTAGTTAACAAGTTACAATTGAGATACCTATTTAATTTTGTTTAGTTCTCGGGCACCGCTTTTCACATTGAAAGATACATTCCAGATGATAATTGGCGTTTTATGTGAATCCAAAAAGTAGGTGATTATCGGGAAAATTTAAATGGTATCTAAAACGAAAGACTAAAATTTGAATCTACAGTTTAGATTCCCCCAAACAGACTTCAATCTGTAATTGTAATACGTCAATGTATAATCTTTGTAAGTATTCAAAATAAACCACCACGTTCATCTCAGTATCGACAATTTTCAGATGGAGCACAACATACGCCATCTTAACAACCAACGCGTTTAATAATGTTTGTAAAGTATTATCTTTTATGTAAGATGATGGAAATATACGTCAACTGGATTATTGGATTATTTAATAAACTATAACTCACTATTGTCACAACAACGGCCTTCTTTACCAGGAACGCAAGAACAGCCTGTCGATAAGGAAGCGAAAGTCCCGCCATTATGGCAAAACTTATTACATTCACGTTGTTCTGATCCCATATCACTGGAAGCACAATCTGTAAATTCGTCACATCCTGGGTATTGTCTCAATTGCACCTTTCTGTCACGTTCTTGTGTACCATAGCATAGCTCAGTACAATCAGACCAAGGTGCCCATGTTAAGAACTCACACTCACAAGAAAACCAAGTTTCTGCCAGTGGACCAACAATTCCCGGTATTGTTGTTAGTAAAACAATTAATTTGGTAATCACGTACATTTTCTGAAAGATATTTTACCAGCATAAATTGGTGGCGTGCAGAGAGAGAGAGAGAGAGAGAAAGAGACGGAGTGTGTGTGTGGGGGGGGGGGGGCAGGCGTAGGTGGCCCCTCAATTAAATATCAGAGGGCATCCAAACAAAGAGTGAAATTAAATTTGGCGTAGACAAGCTGTCATACTTAATTTCAATAAAGTATTTATTTTAAATGTTATCCGGGGAGGGATACCCAAAACAAATTGCAAAAGAAACCAATTTGGTTCAATGATATATATGTCAGAAAACATCCTACTCAAACGCGGCCGAATTCGGGAAAGGCGAAATAACTTAATTAACATAGCTGAATATGGCGGTCTTCGGGAAGTTTCGGAGAGCGAAATCTCGTAACCCGTGTGTTTTAGTGGTGAAGAACTACGTACTAACATTAACTAGGCCCATGAAACTACCATACTCCATTTTAGTCTATCTCTGGAATTGAACACGGCTGTAAACACGAATCGCATAATCATTTCTGACTTAATATCAGAGCGCAAATTCTTAACAACTAGACACATCAAAAAAGCATTTAACCCCGGTGAAGATAGTGCAAAGACATACCAAATGAAGAAAATTACACTTGAAAAAGGAACGCTAAACAGATGTTTGGAATTCTTATTTTAATTTTGAACCCCAAAAAAGAATTCGACAACCCAGAAAATGTTATTAGATATAGTTTAAAGGAGCTAAATCGATAATATTTGGTACCCGCGGTACCTAGAAATTGATATAAATGGGTGGCAACGCATATGAATGTATATAAACTGATTTACATTCAATCATTTCCGTTTTTACTCTAATTTCAAATCAGTTTTGTTCTGCGAAATTTGCCAGAAGTCTCAATCGAATGGCAATCTCTATCGTCTGGTTATTCTAATCTACACCGGTAGTATTTATTGCGCATGCTCTCCAGATAAGAATATGACGTCACCGTTTGACATGACTTTTTGGAATATGTCTAGTCGCTCTTCTTAGAGTCCCTTAATTGTTACAAATGGCGCCGAAACGCATTATGGTACACGATTCGTGTACCAATGGTAAAATCTTTATTTTGTCTTAAATATTGGATATCAGGGGCCTATCTTTTCCTGTTAAGATCACAATATCAATGTTGATTTAATTTGACAAATAATTCGTGTTTTCAGTGTCGAAGACTTTGGATGATATTGAGTTAGAGACTTAGCTACTTTAAACGCAATATCCTCATGAAAAAAAATCCTCATTATGAATTCTATTTTGATTACCGTTTTAAATTATATCATCTGGGCTATTCAAAGTTAGTTTTAGGAGTCAGAATTGAACCCAGTAACCTCAAAAAACCTTATGTGGGATATTCCATGTTAAGTGGGTAATTTTTCAGCAATGTTGTAGTGCTCAATGAGCTACAAGGTTAAAGATATAGGCCCATATTTTGGCCTATCCAGAGATTGCCGGTATAAGAAACATATGAGAACGCATCAGTCTTCACTAGATTCCCAGAAAATTGACCTCGAATATGGTTTTGGACAAACATCTTCTAAAAATTGCCTCGTATTTTCGAGCCGAAAGAACCCGGTAGATGAGCACCTAAAATTCTTAAACATGGTGTAATTATAGTTTGAACTAATGTCTCCAACATATGTTAAAGCCATTCTTGTCCTATGCTATCTTAATATTTTTTTGATTTTTTCAAAGTGTGTGGTTCGGACCAATTCATGTCAATTATCACCCAACGAGTTAAACCGTGCTTAAATATGGTTTATATGTTTATTAGGACTGAAGAAGCTGATATTCCAAATTTTTTCGATGTCCCACCCCCACTTGACATGGAATGACCCAAATAAGACATATATTACATGCCATGCCCACCGGGAGTTATTTTTTATGTGGTTGATTATCTAGTATCTTTGGCCAAGTCAAGTAAGAGTTGCGCCCCTTCCTGCAATAAATCCCATAATACTTACATTGATATAAACAAACATGAATCGTGACGACGAATTTGGATGGTAAGCATTTTTTTTCCATCCACTGGAGCCAGGTGTTATGCGCATGCGCTATACTATTGACAGAAATTGATGACATCACCCACTATTTGACGTCAGACCCCCTCATAAATCACTCTTTTTCTGACTTACTTGCTGTTAAGTATTTTTTTGTGGGTAAATTCATAGTTTTAGATTTTAAAATATTTGTTGTCAAGTATTTTTGTGGGTAAATTCATAGTTTTAGATTTTTAAATGATTGAATTTTAAATAATAATCAAAACCCATTAAGTATGAAATGTTTCTTGTTGTTTTTCTTATTTTTATTTTTTTTGGGGGGGGGGGAGGGGGGGGGGCTATTTGTAATTTAAATTTTAAACTTGATTTTCTAATATTAAAAATTAATTTTCAAAACTATTTCACAATTTTAAAAATTAATTTTCAAAACTATTTCATAATTTAATATTTAACTTATAATTTCCAAAACTATTTCATAATTTAATATTTAACTTATAATTTCAACATTCAAGCAGTCGTACTTTATAAAATTAATTAATTACCGAATAAAATATTTTTTAAGCTTCTGAGAAAATAAAATTGTGCGTCAATAATGAGAAAGAAATCTAGGGAAGGCGCGGAAGGCATACTCTGCATTTTCTGAAATGAATGAAAGACGGAAAAAGGTTTGACTAAATTCATATCACACCGCACCAAAGAAAGAATAGTTTTCCCTAAGGTTATGGAATGGAAAATGTGATTCAACTGTGGTAATTATATAATCAAGCCGATCCATATTAATTATTGTGGAGAATCTACCAAAAAGAAAAATCATACCCAATTTCTAATTCCTCATGAAAAACCAGTGTGAGTATTAGTAAGCCAGAGGCCTATAATAAAACAGGGAACAGTATGTTATTCTAAATCATAGGCCTATTTATCTTTTACCAGTGCGATAAGATAGACATTTCTTATTCAAGAAATTCAAAGATTCATTTTATTTAGCTGGTGCATTAAATGTATCTATTGCAAATATAATGCAATCCCAAGACCAACTGTCTAGTCCTTCCGAGAGGACAAAAAACCGAGGTCCCGCGTGCGTGCATGTAAAAGATCCCTTCGCAGTTGAAATTCGATACAAGAGTAGATCATAGTGTCGCTGTCCGGGCAAAATTTCCCTCAAAGCACACTATATGGCATATGCCCGTCTTAATTAGCTCATTCGGAGCAGAACAGTTGGACGTTAAACCCCATTTCATTTCATTTCATATCGTATATGCTCGTCTTCATTAGCCCAATCTTCATTAGCCTAGTTCGGAGCAAAACAGTAGGACGTTAAACCCCATTTCATTTCATTTGTATTACATTTCTAAAAGTTATTACAATTTATCCCCATACTCTATATGTTAAAAACCCCAAACCCAAGCCCTCATCCCACCGCTATAGTAACTTTGGTTTGCCTTTATTGGCCTAAAGTATTAAACTTTAAAGATACATTATGCAGTTCAAAAATAGATGATGCAAAATGAAGATATATTGAAAATTTTATTTAATTTTTTTTATTCTAAGCCAAGTTATCACTGTTTGTAGTTTTGCCAAGATATGTGCATTGCTATAATATACTGCCTGGTATATTCGAGACTTGGCCTCGCTTTTCCATTTTTAAATTAAACATCAAATGACCGAATCGTTTTACCGATAAACTATTTAAAATTGGAGCTATCCGATGGCATGGAAGGTTGGTTATGGTCTTGTCATGTTAACAAATGTCTACTTAATAATGCACCGTATATAACATTTAAGGCCTAAAGAAAGACCTGCAATAGGCAGATGTAGCTCTTGAGTAATGCCTGTTTAATAAACAGCTTCTTTGCATTAGTAGGCCTTTAAAAGTCTACTGTATAATACATATTTATGTCGACATTCAATTTAAATATATTCTGGAAACCCTCAGCTCTGCAAAAGTTCATTCCTATATGTTTACTGGAAAATTTATTATAAAACCCATTTTAAAAATCAATTTAATTTCTTGAATTATTTATTTATTAAAAAAACTAAAAGCCATACAATAGATAGATCTTTGAAATGAAATAGGAGTTATAAAACTATGAAACACTTGGTGTTAGAAGTCTTAAAGCCTTATGGCAGTAAAGGCCTACAATACAATACATGTCACCCAGAACCATTATGTTAAATATAATGTATGCAAAGTATTCACTCTTATGTAGGTTTAGGGTTGTAAAAGGATAAACCAATAAGTCAATAAGCCCAAATCTGTTTATTGATAAATGGTATAGGCCCATGTTTTTGAAATTCAATTTATAAAAGACATAGTAAAGTCACGGGTGGAGGGGGAGGGGGCTCTTCGAAGAAATCAAAGTCTCCTCCAGTTCAAGTGCGATCGCCATAAAAATTGGCATGTTTGTTCCTAGGTAACGTTGACATTCGATATATATACATGTACTTCGATGTTTAATAAGATCCAAGTTGGCTACGACAACCTAATGCTCATAGAGTATAATAGAGTTTATTGACACAGGTTTGGTGTGTCTTGTGTCAATAAACAACCTTATTGATAATCTATATTAAGATAATAGTTTACTTATAACAGGAAAATTTCTAATTAGTTAAAGGAGCTAAATCGCTAACATTTGGGACCTAGAAATTGACAAAAGTGGGTCGCAACGCATATAATACTGTAATATGAATGTATATAAACTGATTTACATTCAATGGTTTCCGTTTTACTCCAATTTCAAATCAGTTATGTTCGGCGAAATCAGCCAGCAGTCTCAAGCGTCTGGTTATTCCAGTCTACATGCGCCGTTTGATTTGGTGCAATGTGTCTAGCCTTGTCCCTCGAGTCTCTTGATACAACTGGGGATGAAGCGCATTATGGTACACGATTCGTGTACCAATGGTAAAATGTTTATTTCGTCTTTAATATTGGATATCAAAAGACCATCTTTTTCCGGTAAGATCACAACATGAATGTTGATTTAATTTGACAAATAAATCGTGTTTTCAATGTTGAAGATTTTGGATGATATTGAGTTCGAGACTTAGCTACGTTAACTACCTGTACTTATAACAGTAGAAACCAGTTACCTGTCTACCCGTCTCGACTAGCCTATGAATTCCTGTAAATTTAGCCCAAAACTGATAGCTTATTATGTACATAAACAAGGTGGGATTTAAAGGGGTGGGCAGAAGCCATGTGCCCCAATTATAAAACACGTTTTTGTACCATAAATAAATATTTCATTTATCTACCTATCTACCGTACTGACATGCATCCTGTTCACCGTTGATACACGGGTCCCTGTGACATAGACTTATTGATAATCTATGAAATCACTACAACAAGTTTTAAGAAGAAGAGAATCTCTATTTACCTACCTCCCTATTAGAATCTAGCCTCTGAAATCTTGTGATTTTAGTCAAATACTGCGTACACGATTAATTCAACTTCCTAGTGTTAAGGGGATTCCCCTGGCATATTTTCCAGTCATCATGCCTGGCTAGATTTGAACAATACGTATGAGCTATCGTGATCTATTCATCTCTGACATTATATTATATACATACGAGGGTGATTAGTGTTTACTAGAGCGAAAGATATTTCGTTAACATGCTTCTGCGCCCCTTTTAAAGATATCACCGTCTATAAACTATATGTCTGATGAACTAAGATTCGCGAACTGGTGTTATTATGCTCACCATTTTGCTAGTTTGGTAAGCGTACAGCGAATTGATGCATGATTCCTCTGATGGCTTGAATTCAAAATAAGAGTAGGACGCACATAGGCGTACGGGCTTGATGACAGTTAGGGGCCAGAACCCGAAATGCCCGAAAAAATTCAGGGTTACAGACGGCGGCGCCGGTTTTCCGTGAGAGCGGGGTTGGGGGGGGGGGGCTTACCGTTTAGGACCCCCCTCCCCCGCCCCCAAGACAATTTTGGAAAATTGGAGGCCGCTAACGCGTTTTCCTGCAATTCCAGCCCGTGAATATAGAAACTTCAAAGTGGTCTGATATAGCCTAATTAAGATGGCTGACTGGAATTCCAATAAATCGTTTATAGTCCACGGACACGTAACCGTCAGGTGAAAATTTTGATATAGTCCACGGACACGTAACCGTCAGGAGAAAATTTTGATAATTTATCTGCTGCAAACCCATTTTCTTGCTATTCTAGCCCGTGAATACAGCAACTACAATGTGATCCAATATAGCCTACCTTAGGTGACTGACCCGAATCCCAAACAACCAATCAATCGTCGCGGGATATGGGGGCCTCACCCTCCAGGAGAAATTTTGAAAATTTAACTACCACAAATGCATTTTTCTGCTTTGTGCTATTCTATCCCGTGCGTTAAGCTACTCCAAAGTTGTCCAATGGTTTTGTAACCGAAATCCCACTATATGCCGAGCTGAATTCCAACCATCCAATCAGACTGTTTCAGCTGCATTCACAAATAATAAGTCAGATTGCCCAAAAGTTAGGAGGCAGCTTCCCCCCCCCCTCTCCTGGCTCGTACGCCAATACACCGCTGTCCGTGTATCACCCATTGCCCTCATACATAGCACACTACCTGTCTTCATCTCGTGGGTTTTCTCTGGACCCCTAGGCCAAAGCGAATTATTGAAATGATATTGAATCAAATGTTAGTCCCAAAACGAAGTGGACTTTAAACTCCCCTTCCGCCCCCACTCCTACCTCTCAATAAATAAATGAAATGTGGTATTGCGTGTTTTGTGTGTGGTATTAGATATTCTGTTTTAGTTTCATTACATTGTGCATCTTTATATTATTTAGCAAGCTCTACTTTATTTTAGTTGTTTGTCTGTTCTCTATTGTTGAGTAGAGGACTACGCCTTTTCACTAGTGATAAAGATTAAGTTACTTAAATTGTTGTCTATTATGAAGCGAAATATACGATATAAGTTTAACTCTTAAATAGAAATGTGCATTCTAATATGCTTACAACAATAAATTGAACGTCTTACTTATACAGTACTAGCAGGATAACCGGCTTCGCTCGGGGGTCATAACTCCGAAACCGGAAGTGGTAGACTAACGCCACCTGGCCTATGTAAACTCCCCGGTCCGAGCTACCCCTATACCCCAAATTTCAGACTCGGGGCAGACCTGGTGTAGCCGCCAACCCCGAACAGACCGGCTTCGCTCGGGGGTCATAACTCCGAAACCGGAAGGGGTAGACTAACGCCACCTGGCCTATGTTACTCCCCTGTCCGAGGTACCCCTATACCCCAAATTTCAGACTCGGGGCAGACCTAGTGTAGCCGCCAACCCCGAACAGACCGGCTTCGCTCGGGGTCATTACTCCGAAACCGGAAGTGTTAGACTGACGCCACTTGGCCTATGTTACTTCCCGGTCCGAGCTACCCCTATACCCCAAATTTCAGACTCAGGGCAGACCTAGTGTAGCCGCCAACCCCGAACAGACAGACAGACAGACAGACAAACGATAGTCACAAATATATATATATAGAAGATAGATAATAAATTGGCTATTTACATATGTACGACAGTACTAATTGGAACAATAAGAACCGGCCATGACTGATTGTGGTCATATTGGATTTGGAATCGAAATTCGACAATCGCTGGCAATGATCTAAGAGGCAATTGAAGAAGAACATATTAAAATGAGTAGCGTTAACGCTAATCAATATTCCTTATTTCGTAAAGATACATTATATAAAGAGCTGGGCGTTCTTGCTATAATAGTTCTAAAATAGATAATGAAAAATGAATATTTTGAAATGTCATTCAAATTACTTTTTCTTGGCGAAATTATTACTGTTTGAAGATGCAGCGTAGATCGTTTAATATCGCTTATCTTTTTTGACGTTAAATCTCTTAATCTCGCGGGCGTTCTAATCCATTTATATCTCTGCTATCCGATGATCTCGAGAGTTGATCATGGGCTTGTCATGTAAATAAATGTATACATAAATAACACTTTATATAGCATTTGAAGCCAAAATAAAGACCTACACAGAACTCTCTCTTCTAGAAGCATCAAACAAACCGGCAAATTAGGAACTCATCTTTAAAGGAGCTAAATCTCTATTCTTTAATATACAGCTAGAAACGGAGACAAATGAGTCGCAAAGCATTATATTTATGTAATATAAATGTATATAAACTGATTTACATTCGAACGCCTCTGTTTTTACTGGGGGATCACGTGGCTAAGTGGGTAAGATGCTGGCTCGCTAGCCTGGAGGTCGGGTATTCGATCCCTGCATTGGCCGAGAAAGTTCATCCAGATTTTCCGGCGTGGTTCGCCCTTGTCAGTGATGCAGGACGGAGGGCCTGACAAATACAACTGTCTAGTCTTTCGGATGACAAGAAAAACCGAGGTCCCGTGTATATATTGGAATGCACGTAAAATATCCCCTGGCAGTTGGAATTCGATATAAGAGTAGGCGATATTGCCGCTGCCCGGGCAAATTTTCCCTCATAGCACACTGTATGGCGTATGCCCGTCTTCATTAGCCCAGTATAGGAGCAGAACAGTAGGACGTTAAACCCCATTTCATTTCATTTCTGTTTTTACTGTAATTTCTAATTAGTTTATGTTTGGCGAAATACGTGATGAAAGCCTTTGGCGTCTGGTAGTATTCTCCTGTGGGATACGTTTAGCTTCGTTCATCGAGTCACTTCATTGCAAATGGCGCACGAAAGCATCCTGGCACGCGAATCGTGTGCCAATTTTATCATTTTTATTTTGTCTTAAATATTGGATATTAGGATCCCACATATTCACAGCATAACAACATCAATATCAAAGGCCGATCTTGATTTAAATTGACCAATTAGTTATGTTTGCAATGTCGAAGACTGTTGATGATATTGAGTTAGAGACTTGTCCATTTTAAATACTGAAGGGGGGGGGGGGGGGTGATAGCCGAATGGTTAGCGTGTGCGCGCTGTATCATATGGCGTGGTTTCGAATCCCCGGTTGTACGTGACAGGGAGTAGGGTCTCTCCGGGTCCCGCGGTTTCCTCCCACTGCTAAAGACCCCTACGGTTGTACGTGGCAAGGAGTAGGGTCACCTGTCCAACCTCGTGGGTTTTCTCCGGGGCCTCCGGTTTCCTCCCACTGCTAAAGACCCCTACGCGCAAGCGAATTATGTAAATAAAATTAAACCATATGTTAGTCCCGAAATGACCTAGTTTGTGTCGAGTGGACGTTAAACCCCATTTCTCTCTCTCTCTCCCTTTTAATACTGCGTTCTAATCCTGTTGATGTTTACACCCGCAATTTTATTTCTTTTCTTTTGTTTTCTGTTACTGTAGCTGAATAGTTATATGTTTTTGTCGAAATTACAAAGCCATTACATTAGTGTTAGTATTAACAAGAAACTGAAGAAAGTGCAAAAATTGTGCAGTCTGTACACTAAACTTAATTAAAAACAAACAGATAAATGTAGAATTTAATACAGAAAATACAATAACAAAATCTATGGAATATAGAAATTATACCATGAATCTCTAGGAAAAACTATAGGATTTGCACTGCATAAACTGTAGAATATTTGGGATCGTTATTTCTCAATAATACCTTTCGTTGTTAATGAACAGTAAAGACATATCGGATATATAAGAAACAAGCTCATAGGATATAAATTATATGTGAGTATTAAAAGCCTATTTATCCTGAAGTTAAATAACAACCTCGGAGTAATTTGAATAGCGTGTGTTAATTGTTCTCAACAGTCACGATCATATACGTGTCACCCTACCCCCGTGAAGCCATTCTGAGAAACCCTTCTATCTTGTCCGAAGCCCGTGTTTGCTGTTTACATGGAAACGACCCCATTGCATTTGTATTAAACTGACCTTTTCGCCGGGAACGCCAAGAAAACGTGCACATGGAAATAGAGCCTGAAAGGAGCTCTATTGTTATCAATTTATGGAAAAGGACAATATTGTGGTAGGTCCTCTACAAACTTGCACATGGAAACCTCGTTGGTTTCTCCGTGACCTCGGGTTTCCTCTCACCCCTACGCGCAAGCGAATTATTGAAATAAAATTGAGCAATATTATGTTAGTTCCGAAATGACCAAGTTTGTGCTGAATGTACGTGAAGCCCTACCCCCCCCCCCCCCATCTCACTTTCTCTATCTCTCTCGCTTTAATATTTTGAATCTATTTCACGAATCTGATTGGGGTTATTTACAGGGATCAATTATGGCGAATCTATCAATCAAGAATGGTGTAAGTCTGTTCAGTTGTTGCCGGGTTAAATGGGTTTTGTAAAGAAAAAAAGTGCGAGGCTTGTCGTTGATCTCTGAAGAGTCGTCTTATATCATGCATCTTTAAAGGAGCTAAATCGCGAATATTTGGGACCTAGAAAATGACACAAATGGATCGCAACGCATATAATAATGTAATATGAATGTATATAAACTGATTTACATTCAATCGTTTTCATTTTTACTCTAATTTCAAATCAGTTATGTTCGGCGAAATA